GGTATTTATTACTAATATAATTTCAAAAATATATACAAATACTTTTAAAATACAGAAAATATGGGGGGGGGGGGAAGGGAGTGGAAAAATAATAAAATGCAGGTGGGTAATTAACAATGATGCAATGTTAATCAGTTTTGCATATTTGAGCCAGTAAATCAGAAGTGTAACTAAAATCTGGTTTTATCTGAAGCAAGCTCACATTGCTCTAAATAGACTTTTTCTTTTATCTTAATGTGTTTTGCTTTCTGTTTGCTTTGTCTGATATTGCTAACTCCAGAAGGACATCACATGATGGGTTTGAATGCAATACTTCCCTGAGTTTATTTTTAAGGAGCCTGAGCAAGAACACGTCTTCATTAATTGTTACATATTTTTTTCTCCCTCCTTCCTTTTTTGGAGTCTGACAAACATACCTTGTATCTTTGTAGGTGGCTAGATTTCAACACAAAATATGACAAGTTTATTCTTTAATTGCAGACCCTGTCATAAGCTCCGGAAAATGTGATTCATAGCCCTGAGTGGCAATGAACCCAGCTAAGTGTGGAGTGTTCAATAAATCTTATTTTAGTGCTAAAGATTTTAATTCAGGATACTTTACCTCTCAACCAAAACGCTGCCCTTCACATTTTCAAAAGAGGACTCTCTTAAGTGAACCTGTTAGCAATAAGTAATGTATAAAAGGTAAAAGTTTCCCTCTCACATGCGTGCTAGTAGTTCCCAACTCTAGGGGGCGGTGTTCCATTTCAAAGCCTAAGAGCCAGCGCTGTCCGAAGAAGTCTCCGTGATCATGTGGCCGGCATGACTAAACGCATCGAACCGCTGTTACCTTCCCACCAAAAGTGGTCCCTTTTTTTCTACTTGCATTTTTACATGCTTTCGAACTCCTAGGTTGGCAGAAGCTGGGACAAGTAACGGGAGCTCACTCCGTTACGCGGCACTAGGGATTCGAGCGGCGGACCTTTCTGATCAACAATCTCAGCATCTTAGTACTGTATAGTTATGCTTAATATTAAATCTGTATTAAAATATTTTATTTTAAACATGGTTTTAGATACATGATACAGAAGAGACAGCGAGTGGGAAAGTTTTGCCAGCAGGCGGCAGCAGCAACGCCTCGACTATAAACAGCGTTCGTCTTCAACGAGTGCGAGTGGGAACCCTTGATGAGGGAGCTGCTTCCCGGCGGAGCGCTATCTCGGTGACACTAGCCGGGAGGGGAAAATCTGCCCGGCGGGTAGCGAAGCAGGGAAGTGCTGCTAGTGTCGGTGGAGGGCGCTAGGCGAGCAAGATGCTGCTGGTGCTGTCGGAAGAGCACAAGGAACACCTGGGCTTCCTTCCCCAAGTAGAGAGCTCAGGTAGGAGCACTTCGAGGGCTTGCAGGGCTGCCTGGCTGCTCGCTCTACTTATGACCTCGCCCACTCGGGACCTGCGTGGCTCCGGGGATCGCGGGTCCTTCCTCGCCCCCCATCCCGCGGGGGTGGGGAGTGTAGATGGAAAAGCGCATGCTGGGATGCACGGAACTAATCCTGATACGTTGAACCCCACGCCACTACAGAAGCCCTTGCCTGCTTATTTGGGAATGTTCAGTGGGGAATATCGGAATATTTGGGCTGCGACCCTCAGAGCACCCTGGATACCTTTGCTCAGCTGAAAACACCCGTTGGATAGCCTTAGAGCAGGGCTCCCCAAAATTGGCAACTTTAAGACTAGTGGACTTCAATTCCCAGAATTCTCCAGCCAGCAGAGCTTTAATTCTGGGAGTTGAACTCCACAAGTCTTAAAGTTGCCAAGTTTAAAGACCTGCTTTAGAGTATGCTTCCATGCTTACCCTCGCAGTTTAAAAGGGTTTTATCAACATTGCCAGCAAAGATGTTTGTAGCGAATAATTGTCCTGCCTCTGCTTTTATAGCAGTTATTTATTGCAAGTAAGCATAACAATTCTAATATGGTTGTTTTATTGATGCCTAGGGATATAGCCTTCTGTTAAACCTCTCCATCATGTGCTCTCTTTATTTTTTATGTAGGCTTATGATTCATTTTGACTTTTAAGCTTCAAGAAATAATACAAATCTACTCTATAATTTGACCTATGTTAATTCTCCAGTTTTAACATGAAAGCTTTTCTAAGACAGCTTTAGGACATCTTGCATAGCTTTCAAGGCCAAAAAGACTATATACACAGTGTCTGGAGTACTTTGTTCTGTATCTTCAAGATTAAAGTATATTAAAGTTTATGTAAATATTTTTAAATGAAGAGCACAAACTATAAATCTAAAAAATGATTCCTATGATGTTTACTCATATATCTTAGTATCTTTGTTAAAGGTAAATGTTTGCAAAAATTCTAAGAGAAAACATTGTAAAAATTGTAGTTGATCAAAAATTATATTGAGAATGACTTTGCCTTAGATATTTTATTTTGTATTTTACTTTTTTGCAATTAAAATCTTTTTCGAGTGAAACAAGTTATTTAATTTTTTTCACATATTTGATTAAGATGTGGTTTGATTAACAATTAAATGAAGCATAATTAGCTGGTTTCATGTAACAAATTAAGCAATAATCCATAGTTTACAAACTAGTAACTGATATTGCAGAGCAATGGTGGTTACATAATGTGATCAACCAGTTTATAAAAATAAACTGTTTTTAGGTTCATACAATACACTGAAGAATGAAATAGCTAAATGGTTTGTGTAATATACTAATTAACAAAGTTAACTAATCTTAGCAAGTTAGTGACTGCTTCTGTGTTGTTTGAACATGGCCAAGTCTGCCAACTTGCACAATCATTTAGCATAACCTAATATAATTTTAGATTAAATAAATTGATCTAATCCTCATATTGCAGATTATTAATGTAGCTAGCTTGCAATTACAAATGTTCTAGCAGAGGCAGTTCCTGTGTCTGCAATTAACTTAATTTTATTCATTCAGTAAATTGAACCAAATTAACTGTGTAAACTGAGTTCAGATTGCATTCTGTGTGATAGCAATAGCACTTAGACTTTTATACTGCTTTACAGTGCTTTATAGCCCTCTCTAAGCGGTTTGTAGAGTCAACATATTGCCCCCAAAAATCTGGTTCCTCATTTTACCCACCTCAGAAGGATGGAAGAGTGAGTCAACTTTGAGCCTGGTGAAATTTGAACTGCCAAGTTGTCAGCAGAAGTAACCCAACGCATCTCGTGATGTTTGGGTCATTTTGTGATTTCTTGTGAATATATCCCATTTTTGAGGTAGGGACTTTCCTGGTCACATTGGAGTTTAAGTTGACAGTAATATTAGGAAGCACATTGTGGCTCACTCCAGAAACACTTCAGAAACTGCCAAAGCTTCCCCATCCAGGTTCAGTTCATATGAAGTTTGATATGAAAAATTGATAGCGCTAACTCTATACCCAATTGTAGAAACTTGTGTGTGGAATCATATACAGATTAATGTTACCTATATACCAACTGATTAAGTATTTAACAATTTGATTTATGTCCAACATGTGATTTATGTTTTCATTAGTGGACTAGGTAAAACATACAGAAGTGCTTTATAAAATGCAGGAATGTACATACAGCATTTATTTTTGAACTGCTAAAGCAGCTGTTTATTTTCATCCCAGTAAAGTGATTCATATAGAGATAGCCAAGAAGATCAGTTATTAAAGCAGCAGTACAAGCATTGCAAACCATATGACTACTGTAAAGTTCCCCAAAGGAGTTGGAAAGCTTCATTTTTTTAATGCTTTGCAAACCCCTATTTGCTATTACTTTCATTCATACATAAATTAACCACTCTTCCTAGATTATAACTGCAGTGATAGATCAACTATTCTTTTAGGATAATTGGAATCAATAACAGACTTTTTGCATCTACATAACATTTGAGCAAACAAAACCATTTTTTCTTGATACTTTGCTTATTTTTATCTTTTTGGAAAAGCCAACAAATTAAAAGAAAATGCTGCATAAATGATAAAATAATACTTTTATTATAAAGTATGGTATATTAATACTTTAAGAGGAATAAGAATTCCTTGATCATATGACAAGAAAAACAAACCACAGATCTAAATATAAATTGACTAGTTGTGCCTACTGACATAAGTTCTGGCTGTATTCTGGCTTATTATTTCAAGGAAACATGGTCATTTTGTGATTCTAATAGTATGATAGCCTTTTTATCATATGAAAAATATCATTTATCATATGACGAATATTTCTAACATGATTTTCTGAGGAGTTCTGTTTTTCTCAGGACAAGCAGTTTTGGGCACTCTGCTGTATTGCTGCTACTTGACTGTTGCTCCTAGTTAAATAAACTTTATGCAAATTGGTTTAATGTTATGAACCCGAGCCCTGCCTTGTTCCTTAATAACATCATCAGAAATCATGGATTCTTTTTAGACTATGGTTTATTGAGAGAAGGGCAAGGCACACATACTGAACAAACCACAGATGGTACCATTCAGGTTTATTTAGCTAACAGAATGAACTATACATAAATGTTTGAGTATTGTGCATTAGTCTAATATTTATTCCCAAGCCAGAATGTTTTAGAATCTAGTTCACTGTTAAAGGGAAAATTTATAAGTGAAAAACAAGGATTGAAATTTTACTCTGGCAGTCCATAATGTTTTGCTACTTCCTTTTATTTGTCCATTTCTGCCCACATTCATTACTCTCTAAATTTCCCTCTGTAAATTCAGAAGCAGATTCATAATTTGCTGTGGATGGAGATACGTTGTATTCAAATTGATTACTTCTATGTCCCCACCGTAATTCCATCATGGTGTTTCTTTTTTCAGTTGTCAATGAATTTGGTCGTATTGCTATTGAGTTCTTAAGAAAAGGCACAAATCCTAAAGTCTACGAAGGAGCAGCAAGTAAGTATAAGAACAGTATGTTTACTAGCTATAAAAGCTACAGGCAGAAATAGATGACACATCTATTATTGATACTATCTGTTGATGAAAAACAATGATGTTAACCAGTAGTGGCATTAAAAAAAATTTGCTACAGGTTCTGTGGGAGTGGTTTGGTGAATGTAGCAAGGGAAGGATATTGTAAAATCTATTCCCTCCCCACTCCAGGGGGATTACTGCAAAATCCCCATTTCCTCCTGATCAGCTGGGACTCAGGAGGCAGAGAATAGATGGGGCGGAGCCAGCCAGAAGTGGTATTTACCAGTTCTCTGAACTACTCAAAATTTCTGCTATCAATTCTCCAGAACTGATCACAATCTGCTGAATACCACCTCTGATGTTATTCCAATAAACAATTAATTTGAACTAGGGATAAGATTTGTACCTTGCTCCAAAATAGTTTAGTATCATGAATTACAAAAAAATGTAAATTAACTCAGCAGGGTGATTGGCATAGGAAACTATGTTGAGGAAGTTAAAATAAGAAAATGCAACATCTTTCAGCTTGAGGGCTTGTGTAGTATGCTAAAGGCCACCATCCAAAAGAAATGGGGTAACCATTTTTTCCTTTAATTTTAAAGCTTTTATTAATTAATTGTTAAAGTTAGAAAATTGTTTAAAGTTTAAATTTTATTAGGGAGGGAGTAATAACAGATTTTTCCTTCCCATAAACCATAGGTGATTCTCTACATCTATGGAGATTTGTTTCATTGTTCCTAAATTGACATCTTTTATTACATTTTCCTTTTCCTTTATACAATCACTTAAATACTGTGCAGTTAAAAAAAAGCAATAAACAACTCATAACACTTCTA